CGATAGCGCGTAATTAGAACAACAGCCGCCGGCCTGGGGATGGCGGCCTGTGTGCAGCAAGACGACAACAACACATTCTGGACTGAACGACCAACACAGGCCGTTCATTTCTGCAACACGAGAAGCCACCGCGAGCCTCCACAGCCAACCTGCCGATCTGGTCTTAGCACCAGGCACGCACCGCCTGCGAGTGGCCAGCGGGGCGGCAGGCCAGCTTGGTTCCTGCATTAGCCCTGACACCCGCCAGACCACTTGCAGCGCCCAGATGCTTTGGCCCCTGTCGCCCGTCCTGTTTCCCCCTTTCAGTGGCCACTTGTTTCCGGTCCGCGCTACCGTGCTGTAATCTCCTGACGGTATATATCCAGGCAGCGAGGTCGCCTTGCTGTTTTTTTCACTTCACAGCCAAACTTTCGAGCTTCAAGTCCTTTGACCTTCGGTCGTCCATTCGTTGTTACCAACTAATACTATCATTAATAATACACACTCGCCAACTCTCTCCCACCACCTCCACCACCAACCAACACTTCCAACTCTACCGTTTCAAGTTCTAATACCCAACAATCAACATGCGTTACTCCATCGCCATCGCTGCCTTCGCCGGCCTTGCCGCTGCCGTTCCCCAATACGGCGCCTACCCCGCCGCCCCGGCCAGCACCCCCGCTGCCCCGGCCTACCCTGCCTACCCTGCTCAGCCCGAGTCCAGCAAGCCCGCCTACCCTGAGGTCCCTGCTGAGAGCTCCAAGGCTCCTGAGTACCCAGCCTACCCCGCTGAGACCCCCTCCGCTCCTGCTCCTGAGTACCCCGCCTCCAAGACCCCCGAGGTCCCTGAGCACGAGTCCTCCGCTATGCCTACTCCTTCGGCCTCCAAGCCTGCTGAGTACCCCATGGAGACTCCTTCCAAGCCCGCTGAGGTTCCCTCCGTCTCCACCAAGACCCCCGAGGTTCCTGAGCACGCCACCTCTGAGGTTCCCTCTTACCCTGCCTCCTCCATGACCCCTGAGGTCCCCGAGGCCGAGACCACCTCTTGCCTCAGCTCCACCACCATCACCGTCACCGTCCCCTACCCCACCGGTACTCCCGTCGTTCCTGGTGCTGGCAAGCCCTCCGGCTACCCCATGGTTCCCGGTGCCGGCAAGCCTTCCGGCTCTGCTCCTTACCCATCTGCCCCTGCCGGTGGTGCTCCCTACCCCTCTGTCCCTGCTGGCACTGGTGCTCCCCCTGCTGCTGGCACTGGCTACCCCACCAAGACCGGTGGCTACGTCAAGCCCTCCACCCCTGCTGAGTTCACTGGTGCTGCCTCTGCTCTCAACGTCGGTGGCTTCGTTGCCGGTGTTGGTGCTTTCGCTGCTTTCTTCTTGTAAATGTCATAACCTTCAACTGAGCCTGTCTACGGGCAGGCTATGACTTTACACGATACATTGCATCGAGGATTGGTCTTCACTTCAGTAGATATCCTTGGTGTCGGAAAGGGTAATTGTAATTAGTCCGGGGATGGTGTGGTTGAATAAGAACTTGGAAAATACTCCTTCGTGCCTTATGATCGTGATGCTTCTATGCCCTCGTGTGAACTTGGTCCAATGCTCCATGCTGCCTCAATCCTCATCCACCTTCTCGCGATCGCTTTACGCATGATGTGGAACTTCTGCTGTACAGGAATGTTGAATCTATGCTGATGGAACCTGAATGCTGTGGCCTAACAACGGCTGTCGTGATCTGTTGTGGCATGCGACGAGTCGCACATGGCTACACAGCATCAGTCTATGCACGTCTTCTTTGCTTATGCCCCTGCGAACGTGCCTGCTTCTTTCAGTGCCACGAAGTCAAGGATAGAGCTGCATGCGATGCGATGACGCATGACCGCCGTAGCGCAAACTCCCGAGGTCGCATCCTCAAAACAACAAAACTGCACCCCACGTTCTCTTGCACATCAACTTCGACGACCACCTCATCACGGACGGTGATGACCCTGCATGGCGATAATTGTTGAAAGCGTAGCCTGGAAGCTATGTTTCGGCCGCGAACTATATTTCGATAGCCATGGTTGTTTCATCAGCCGTGCACCGTCGCCGCGCTGCGAACGCCACCCTCTACACTTTTCAAGCTTTGCGCTAGACCAACGCGAACCAGGGCCATCTAGCATAGTTCCTTCTACGGGTGCTCGGTTCGTTGGCGCACGTCTGGTATTTGGATGCAGGTGCTGCAACACGACCAGGGAAACACAACAAGCTAATTGCGGCATGCCGAATGCCTCCGACAAATGCCCTCGTTCAGCTTGAGCAGACTTGCCCAGCTCTCAAAAGGCACATTTCAATATTGAACTGCACAACAGACGACTCCAACAGTCTTGAGAGTGCTTAGTCAATACTCGCGTCAACGGGTAAAAGGTGGGGTTCCGGTATCCTTTGCTGCATGAAACGGCCAACCACCAATAGTACTCAAAAACACCGTCTAGACGTCTGACTTTACAGGAATGAGCGCAGGGTCACTATACTACCGCCCGAATACAGAGCTTACCCAGCTAGCCACGTCTCACCCGAGAACCTACCCAGTCCTGCCTGGCATTCCTGGCAAATCGTATGAATTGGAGGCGTCAGTGGGGTTGCCATTTTTGGAGGCAAGAGATATTTGCTTGTCAGCTTACTTTTAGATGATAGGTCCTTTGTTTCGAATGTGTAGGCGAGGATACGACTCGGTACGCGAACGGTGGACGATCGTTGCCAATGTGCGCGCCAGCCTGACGGACCTGAGCTGGAATAACGGTATGGAGAAAATGGGAAGTATAAAGTGAGAGAGTAAACTTCCTGAAGTGAACCACGCGTTCGCTTTGGTTTCTAGACCACCCATCTTACTTGATCGATCTATCAAAGTTATCGAATCAGATTCCTTCGTCTCATCATGAAGACCTTCACGCTTTTCTCGGCCTTCCTGGCCACGGCCATCGCTGCCCCAGCCACACTTGCGCCAAGCGATATCACACCACGCACATTGGGCGTCCTCAAGGGTCTTGCCAAATGTCCGGCAAACCCAGCTCAACCCGACGGGAAATTACCAAAGGGAAGCATATCGACCTCAGCCCTGGTACCCATCAGCGCGAAGAACCCCGACAAGGCCTACCCAGCTACCGAATGGGCGACTGTCACGCCCAAAGACAAATGCACAATCTTCAACCTCGAGCTCGACTCTGACGCCACCCAAGGCAAGATCTGCAACCTCGTCTTCGACTTCCCTTCTCTCGTCCAAGCACCCGGTCTCTTCGTCTTCAAAGGACCTGGGCATTTCACGTTCACTGGTTATGCCATCAACGCTGGTGCAGAGCCTGGTGTTACTACGTACAACAAGCAACCGGCTCCAGGCCCCAGTCCGCCCAACCCACCGCCAGTCCTGAAGCCAGGCAACAGCTACGTTATCAACGGTGCGCCGTGTGGAATACCGCCTGGTATTGGCAAGGTGACTGTCAGTGGAGCATTGTGTTCCGAAGACACGACGTTGACGTTCAAGCAAAGCGACTTGATCTGTCCGTTGGGCTTTTACGTTGTGCTTACTGATGATCCTAATGCGGGAGGGTATGCGGCTCCTCACTAAATGTCTGGTGTCGTTCAATGATCATAAGTAGCATTGATTCAGTACATTAGCGTAAAGACTCCAATTCATGTTTGCGAATTCCAACTTTGACATTCTCTCGCGCCTTCATGAAAAAACGGGGCTACATGTAGCGCGGTCGGGTTCGCTCTTTCCCTACCGTCATTCTGCATCGATGCAACTCCATCATCGTCCGATCAACATCGTTAATGCCGTTATGAGGGGTGTGAAGAGATATGCTATCTTGAGAATCGCAGAGATATGGACACGCATCGACGTGCATCGGAAGTCTCCGACACCCGATCGCTCTTGCGTGTTTGCGACGTTGCGCGGGGAAGCGTACTAACCCTATCAATCTCTACAGCGGCAAGAACTCGACTTACTTTGTATCGATCAACCAAACCGTGCCATTTGTACCATCCCGATATAACAATTTTGTTCCGTGTGTCATTTCCAGGATTCAGATGCGAATCATCGTCCCGCGTCAAGTTCATCTAACTACCTAGAGGCTCAAGATGGAAGCGCACAACAACACAACAACTAAACGTCTCAAGAACGTAACATGGTACTTCTTCGATCTCGACGACACTCTCCACGAATTTCGCAAGGCATCTTCCGCCGCCGTAAACGCGACACTCCGCCTCATCCTAGAAAACCACGCTCACCATGAACTTTCTTCCGGCGAGCCGCTCACAATCGCCGAGCTAAAAGCGGAATACCTCAAGATCCTCAAAACCGGCACATCTACTGCATTCGTGGATGGTAAAACAAGTCACGAGTACCGCGCCGAGCGCTTTCAGGGTGTTATGAACGCTTTTGGTATCGATTGTACGGAGCAGCAGATGCAGGTATTGCTCGACACGTACGAAACTGCAATTATGCAGAATCTGCAACTCAAGGAAGGCGCTATATCACTTCTTGAGACACTGAAGCAACGAGGGAAAAAAGTGGCAATCATCACCGAAGGTCCTCAAGATTCGCAGGAACGTACCGTTGGTGCTTTGGGCCTAGAGCCATACTTTGACAGGCTAGTTACTACGAATAAGCTTGGTGTGGCGAAGATTGACGGCCTTTTTGGCAGGGCGTTGGAGATGATTGGTGTGAAGAGCAAGGAGGTGGTTATGGTGGGTGACAGCTGGGATAGGGATGTTGTTCCCGCGTTGGAAGCAGGGCTAAAGTGTGTGTGGATTAATGAGAAAGAGGAGGGAGTCGATAGGATTGTTGCTGTTGGAGGGGAAGAGAAGAGAGTAACCGTGGTGGAATCGTTGGGTCAGCTGCACAGTATAGGTATATAGTCCTCGCAGTGGTCGTTGACAAGTCTGTGGCACACGTTGCGCAGAAACGCAGCAGAGAAATTTTGTGAAATATACAATCATATGCGGTTTCTATCTGATGTTTGGTGAAGGAGTGAAACCAGGATTTCACGCCTGTAGGAGTTGGACGATCTCTTCCTGGGTAAGCCCATCAAAGTCGGCCGGAACCAACTCCATCTCTTCGGGTAAACGATTTCCGTCCTTGTCGATGAAGTACCCTTCGTCGTCAACAAGATTTCCATCCTCGTCGACCAGGTTCCCATTCTTGTCGATAAGATCTCCCTCCTTGTTGATGAGTCTCCCATCTTCGTCGACCAGATTCCCATCCTTGTCGATGAGCTCTCTCTCCTCATTGATGAGTCTCCCGTCTTTGTTGACGACATTGCCATCCTGGTCGATAAACTGTCCCTTCTCGTTGATGAGCTTCCCGTCTTTGCGAAGGTTCCCATCCTCGTCTCTATATGGCGCGGAAGGCATGGACATCGGTGCATGTGTTCGGAGGTAGCCATCGGTCGGCTTCGTTTGCTTCAATTTCTAGTTACTGCAGTCAGCTTTGCTAAACTTGAAGAGGAGATGTCCGTATTGCACTGCGGCAATACAATTTTGTTTTGAAAAAAAAAGGAACGTCACGTACCTTGCTCCTCCAAAATTTCGAGCTTAGTTTGAAATGTATACCCCTGAAAGAGACGGCATGTCCGCCGGGTTGCTGCTTGTTCTTAGTAATGATGATCGTCGGATAGGCGGATTGAAATAGGTATGCCTACATTCCATGTTCTGTGCTGGTTCATATCAGTCTGGACGTCGTGCGAAGTACTAAGTCCAAGTTTGCCGATATTTGTCGCCCCGATTTCAGCTCCGAGATCGATGTTGCTGCCCGTCTTGTTCCACATGGCAATATCGCACTTCTCCGTGACCCATGTGTCCATGATGACCCAGACGCCGTTGGTCTTGATTTGATGATCATGATTAAAGATCATAGTTTCCTTGTTATCTGTAATCCAACTTGCAATGACCTTGAACGCCTTGGTATCGAACTTGTTGTGTATCACGTGTGGAGATACTTCCACGCCGGCACCGGCCTTCGCAGTACTTCCTAATGTGAAATTGGCTCCCACGTCCACAGGTGCTTGAGCAGCAATTCCGGATACCTCTGCTTTGCCGCCAAAGCCGCGACCCTCATGCTTCTCTGAAAGCTGTTTCTTCCAGTTGCACGTTGTCGGGTCCTCCAGAACGAGCTGCTTACTGGGGGGCTTGTAACCATCGGGGTCAGAGTTCTTGATTTCGGCAAGATCAGTGATCGGTCTCCAGATTCCGTCATCGTCGAAGAAGCCGCAGGACCCGGGACGGAAGACTTTCGCACTGGGTGGTGTATACAAGTAGGTGCCGTCGGTGCACTTCTGCATCAGAGTGGCGTATGCTAGATCCATTTTGCTGTCGTGGTTGTTTAGGAATATAAAAGGTTAAGGATGAAATGCAAGTAGAGTGACTGAAGTCTGGTCTTCTCACTCTTGGGCGATGCCCTCTATGTATGCTGCCCAAGTTGCTTACCTCGACGGAAAAAAAAAGAAACGGACATGCGCTATGAGCTGAGAGTCACTATCTGCAGCTCGTCGAGCCATACCGCAAGTACTCTGGAGTCGCCAGGTTGACCCCAACAGTAATCGCCGAACAGAGGATACAGCTGCGAAGTTTTGGGCAAATGACGGGCTGCGCAAAGGTGTTGCCAGTCAAGCACCAATGGACGGCTCCGCAGATCATGGAGCACAGCGAGGCTATCGAAGATCATTTCCTCACTCTTGTGTTGATCGATAGGGCATAGCGAGAATATCGACAATCGTTCCCACACCTTTGTGTCGATTCATAGGGTGGCACTGTGAGGGTACAGAAAATCATCCCCACACATCTGTAGTGATCGCTGGGGCGGCCCGCGCGCCGTCGGTGGTTCCGAAGACACACAGCTTGTATGTAGCCCGCGGACCGATGCTGTCATGTACCGGCGACCTAATACACCATGTGTAATAGAGTCTTGCACCTGTGAGTTGGCGCAAGATTACGGAGGTCATTAGTTGTTTGTGCTTGTAAAGGCGTTGCATTCGTCGCGAACATGCCCGTCGATTTCTCTAGTGGTTGAGGGTATCTGCGAATTTCGGTATGCCAACGCGCATCCGAACTTCGATCCTGATCGCACCTGCGTCATTGAAAGTTTATAGTCTGGACTTTCGACCGGAGTGCTGAATATGGAGATGGTCGAAGCTTCCTATGATGTTGTTGTGTCGTCAGAAAGCCGCCATATCTGGTGGATCTAAGCGAGGTGGGCCTGCTGCGATGGCATTCGTCGTGGGCTTCTGCGGGTTTGACTCGATCGAGTGGCCGCGAGGCTATCCGGCAGCCGCCATCAGCGTGTCAGTGGACTCGTGTTCAGAGGGACGTCGCGCTATCGGCGTACTCGAGAACGCGTCGTTAGCGCACACGTCGCGAGAGCTGTCAGTGTCAGTGTGCTCCGTGCGCAGTTTCGGCATTCGCTCCCGCGGTCCACGAGTCTTGCCGATGCCACAAGCGTGAAAGCAAAGGATTAGCACGGCCTTAGCATCAATCACTCTACCCAAGACCGCAAATTGACCATGATGATCGTCTCGAGACAACGGCAGTATTTTGAGCTGTCCTAGATGACCTACTAGCAGCAACCTATGCCTCCATCTCAGTCTCGCCATCACACTCCATTCCGTCCATCCCGACTCACATACCACATAGCCTCATGACCATCACACCTCACCGTGCCCCGCGCTGCCACCTTCCCATCATGCAAATGCGCAAACCGCCTAACCGCCTCATCAACAATATCGGCCATATCCTGGTTATTCATGTCGAACGAGAAATCATGCGGCGTGTTGGGTATAGCACCAATACTGAACCCACAGGGAAATTGGTGCATGTGTTGCTGGTAGCCTTCTGGTTTGCCTTTCGCATATCGGTGTTAGTGGGGTGATGAGTGGAGGTACGGGCTGGATTTACCTTCTAGTTGGACGATCCATTCACCGGCGTCTCCGAAGATACTGAAACACGACTCCTGGCATTCTGTTGTGGTGGGTGGGTTGGCTGCGGAGAGGGTGGTGTCTTCGTAGGTGAGTGTGTCGCAGTGGCCCAATGTGCTCTTGTCGCCTTCGCAATAGTTGATGTCTGGGGAAAGTTGGGCTGCTATGAAGGTGGAAGTGAGGAGGCTGAGAAAGAGAGATGACGTTGGATGCATATTGATGGATTGATCTGGTGAGTTGAGAGTGATGGTGTGGAGTGGGAAATGGGTTGTGAGGGAATATGAGGTCGTCTTGTATGTGTTGACATGATTCTACGCCTTGCACATACATACGAGGTGCATCACAGCGTAGGGTAGTTATTGGATGGAAGATGGACTGATGTGAGACGTGCAGCGGTGATGCGAGGTAAGTCATATGCCCGCGGGGATCTTCAGATGAAGTGACGAATCAAATTGACGACAGCATGTTCGTCGGCAAACAACAGACCATGATCTACATACCCGCCGCTACGGCGTAGCCCATTCACACACCGTAAGCTGCATGCGCGCGTAAAATCCCAGAGCAGCGCGTGGAGATACATCAGTTATATCACCCATGTAAGTATCTGACATACTGGCACCATACCGTCAGCTGACACTGCCTATTCGACACCACGATCCTTTTCTTCGTCGCGCTTCTTAATCGGCTACTGAGAGTATTCCAGATGCTACAACTCAAACTGTCTGCTCTTACGATCTTCCCCAGTCTTCTTGCGACCTTCCCTAGCTCGCTTCCAACCTTCATCGTATCGCTTGCGAACTACAACATATTGCTTCCGAAGTTCCTCAGCTCGCTTTTGTACTCGCGCTAATTCATCCTTCGAAAGTACATCACCACCCCGGAAGACAAACGTGCGGTCGAAAACTTGCTTCTTAATCTTGCCGAGTAGACTCAACACTTCATCGGACTTGGCCGGCTTGTCCTCAGTACGGGACTTGGAAGAGATGTAGATGCGGTCACTGTTAGAGCCCAGCGGTGGACTACTAATCTGGCTCGTCTGCTCGACGAAGTCTCGCCACAGCGCGTTTAGCTCTGTCTGAGTAGCCTCGGGCATGTCGTCAAAATCGAAGTACTCATCGTATATAGCGTCGATTCGATCCTCTATCTTTGCAAGCTTACGCGACTTTGCAAGCTTACGCGAAGGCGTGTCCTGGTTGATACGCGGTGACTCACTGTCGTCTTGGTTGAGACGCAGTGTCTCCCCGTCGTCTTTCATGTGGATAGAACCAAACCGCTCAACGAGACCTTCCACACGGAAGATCGAATGTTCGAGTTCTCGATTTAGGATAATGAAGCGTGTGTTGAACTCCTCTTTCACAGCTGGGTCGATATCAAGTGAGTTAGTGGTAGCTTGAACTCTGTCTGTGAATGTGGACACAGCCTTTTTGGCGTTATCGAGTGCGAGCATGGCGCGGTTGCCAGCGGTAGCGATGCTCGCTTGTACGGAGGCTTTTGGCGGGGCGGAGGCGGAGGCGGAGGCGGAGGCGGACACTAGGCTTGCTAGGCTAGCGAAGAGGGTGGTAGTCGTGGAGAGCTTCATGTTTGTGACGAGTGACTTTGGGTATAAGGTTGAGAGATTGAGTAGAGGCGGTGGATGGGAGGGGATCAGAAGGTAGACTGGTGGTACCATATATACATCGAGGGAAGAAGCATGAGGGTGATTTACGCGCGGACCGTGCTGTGAGAAGGCGAGTGAGCTGCCTATCGATGACATGCTTTCACTGTGTACGGAGAACTAGAGGTGTCTTTCACGCGTGGTTCCATGTAGTGAGACAAACTTATGCACACTTGGATAAAGGTAGCAAACAATATGGGGTATCCTAACACATCCAAACAACTCGCTCAAACAAAGACGCCGCGCAATGCTTTTCGAAATATGCAACAGAACCATCTTTTCTTTTCAATCAGAGTCCTCCCATCTGACTAACCTCTCCAAACCCCACTCTCGCCCTACCACCTCTCGGCCTCCCCCTCTTCATCGCACTTCCACTCCCGCTCCCACCAACAGCAACACTCCCCCCAAACCCACCTTCCCTCAACCTCCTCTCAAAACTCGTCACCCCACCAACACCCAACCTCGCATCCCTACTACTCTGCACAGGCGGCGCACTCATAGTCCCCAACCTACCCCTTCCCTCCCTCTCCAGAAACGAAGAGCCCAGCGGCCGCCGCACAGGAGAAAGAACACGTGCTTTCTCAGGACTAGGCGGGAGTTCAGGTCGTTTAGCACGGACGACGCTGCGTTTACTGGGTGTTTTGAGGTAGCCTGGTTTACTGGTTGTAGTAGGAGGAGGGGGCAAGGGCGTTCCGGACCAGAAGGTGGATTGTGCGGCGTCGCCGAAGGATAGGTCGGATTCGTCGTCTTCGGGGATGGTGGCGGGAGGGGGGCGAATGGCGGATTGGGGTTGCGGGTAGGTGTTTGGGCGGCGGAGGATGGAGCCTGGGGGACGGGTTGATGCAGGCGAGGGGATGTGAGCGTAGGGGTTGGGGGTGAGGGTTGGATGGCGGGGTGGTTGTTCTGGGGTAAGGGATAGAGAGAGATCGAGATCGTCGTTTAGACCGAGAGCAGTCTCGTCGAAGGCGGTCCAGGTCTCGAGACGTTGGGTTTCATCACCGGATTGCTGAAAAGCTCCTTGCCCGGCGGTGTTGTTGCCGTCATCGTGGTCGTCAAAGCCTCCGTCGTTTCCGTGACCGTTGTAGTCATCGCCATCATCTTGTCTTCGTCTTCTCGACCTACTGGGAGGCGATGGACTCGCAACCCGCTGGCCACGCCGCTCGGTAGCACGCTCGGCCCAGAAACGAACCATGGCCCTAACATGCTTCTCAAAGTTCCTCTCGAACAACGCTCTCGCGTTCTCCTCTTGCCTCTGGAAGTTCCAAAGACGCCAGCCCATCTTCTTCAGAGCGCCGGTGGCAGCAATCTCCGTGCTCTCCTGCCGCAGAGCAACAGCTTGCCCTTCAAGTGTGTGTACAAGGTCCATGCGTTGTGACCAGATAGCGAAGTAACGGGTGGAAAGCTTGAAAGCGTGAAGGCTCTCGGCTTGAGCATCCTGCTGGCGGAGTATGAGCGTGCGGTCGTGCCATTGATGCAAAATTGCGCCACTGCTTTGGAAAGTGCGGTTATCGAGTACATCGTTCGCCCTTTGTGTCAGCACTGCGATATGGTTTGCCTTGTCCCGCCAGTGCTCAAAGACTCTGCGCACGAGATTCGTCTTGACCATTCTACGGACTTGCGAGTATGTGTCGCGTCTGCGATTACGGCGCGCATGTTGTGTGGCCTGGCTCCATGTGTTCAGTGTGTGTTTGCTAAGAACGTAGAAGCGGGCATCGGCCGACCATTGGTTCAACTCTTGGAA